TTTTTTTTTTTTTTTTCCATCCTTTTTCCTTTTTGTAAAATCCAAAGCAACCGGATAAACGACAACGGCAACAACAACAACAAAAAAAGAAGGAGTCCAGGCCACGCGGGGCTGAGTGCGCGCCGGCGGGGTGGGGGGGCCCGGGGCCGCAGGGTCACTGCACGGAGCCGGGGAGTGTGTGATGGTGGTGGTGGTGCAGAGCGGCCGGCGGGGGCGGCGGGGGCGCGGAGGGCGGCGACGCGCCGCCCCCGCCGGGGCCCAGCTCCCCGGGCGCGTAAACGTCGTCCATGGGCGGGTGGCCCGCGCCGGCCGCGGGGGTCATGCGCTTCTCCTTCTGTCGCCGGTTGCAGAACCAGACGCGCACCACCTCCTTCTCCAGCTGCAGGCTGTCGGCCAGGCCGGTGATCTCGTGCGCCGACGGCTTGGGGCACTTGAGGAAGTGGCTCTCGAGCGCGCCCTTGACCCCCACCTCGATGGACGTGCGCTTCTTGCGCTTGCGGCCCTGCGCCGCGATCTTGTCCAGGTTGGTGGGGCTGCCGCTGGACGAGTCGGTCTCCTCCAGCCACTTGTTGAGCAGCGGCTTGAGCTTGCACATGTTCTTGAAGCTCAGCTGCAGGGCCTCGAAGCGGCAGATGGTGGTCTGCGAGAACACGTTCCCGTAGAGCGTGCCCAGCGCCAGGCCCACGTCGGCCTGGGTGAAGCCCAGCTTGATGCGCCGCTGCTTGAACTGCTTGGCGAACTGCTCCAGGTCGTCGGAGCTGGGCGCGTCCTCGTCCGAGTGCTCGCCCACCGACGAGCCGCCGCCGCCGCCCGCGCCCGGGTGCAGGTGCGCCGCCGCCGCCGCGTGCAGGCCGCCCGGGTGTGCGTGTCCGTGTGCGTGTCCGTGGGCACTCAGGTGCGGCGGCGGCGACGGCTCCAACTGCGCCTCGTGGCCGTCCTCGTGCAGCGCGTGGTGCAGGCCGGGCCCCGCGCCGCCACCGCCCGCGGCCAGCATCCCGGCCAGGCCGCCGCCGCCGCCGCCGGGGTAGGCCGCCTGAGCGTACAGCCCGAGCGGCTGGGGCTGGTGGCCCCCGCCGCTCCCGGGAGACGGCGACATGGCGGGGCCCAGGTGGTGCGCCGTGCCGCCCTGCGCCCATGCCGCGCCCGCGTGGGCCGCCCCTTGGTGCACCAGGCGGGCGTGGAAACCGCCGCCGCCGCCGCCGCCGTCGTCGGCCCGGCCGGTGCCGCCGCCGCCCGCCTTGCCGTGTTCCAGGTGCGGGCCGCCCGCCCAGTCGCCGCCGCCGCCGCCTCCTCCCGTGGGTAGCCACTGGGGGTGTGCTAGGCCCACGGGGTGGCCCGCGCCCGCGCCCAGCCACTCGTGGTGCATCAGCTTCTGCACTTCGCGGTACGCGGCCCCCGCGTGCAGCCGCTCGGCGGCCGCCGCCGCCGCCGCCGCCGCCGCCGCGGCATCGGGATGCATGAGCGGCCCGGTGCCCCCGGCTCCGCCGCCGGGGCCCCGCGGCAGGTACTGCGCGGTGGTGGCCATGCCGCCCCGCGCCCTGCGC